ACAGAACTAAAACAGAAAATAAATGAAAACATATATATATATATATATATATATATATATATATATATATATAAGAAAAATAAAAACTGAAATGGAAATAAACATAAATGGCCGTTTAAAAAACAACAACATTACAAAACAACAAAAATACTAAAATCTAAATTAAAACTGAAAATATAAAAAATGCAGCTGATATAATATAGATACGAGCATGTTTACTGTCGTTAACTATAACTTTTTTGTTCATTGGAATAAAGATGAAGAAAAATAGAATATAATAGTAGATGAAAATACAAAATATCACTAAAAAATTTTAAATTATAATGATACTAAAATAATACTGGATACAACATACAATTCAACTGAGACACTCAAAACTGCTGAAATAAAATCACAATTTAACATTTACAAATTATTAAATTCACTGAAAAATATTTGAAAACAAAAAAGGTCTATATTTGTATATTGGCAAAAAAAATTATTTCTGCTTTTTTCACCACTTTTAATCATCATTTTACTTCATGAGTTAATTTGAAATGGTCCTTCAGCGTGATGCATAATGCTATAAACATCCTATGTAATCTGCCATTATCTGTAAAGCTTAGCACTTTCAAATTCTACAAAACCTAAGATTTATTAATTAAGTTAGTGAGAGTTGAGCGTGCTGATACCTGTTTGGACCTGTCGGGGTTCAGCTCGTCTCTTGTTCTTGCCGTGTTGCCGGTTGAGTTTGTCCAGTGCATCCGACTCGTCAATGTGCAGTAATGCACTCGCTGCTCCGTTCCGGTTCTCACAGCCCTCATCAGCACCTGCTCACCAAACACACATGAGCATATTCAAAATCATTTAGCATTAGAAGAACCATCCTAATAAATGCAAAACCACAACTTTATTATAGTTCAAAATACATATGTGACTCTGGAGCACAAAAGCAGTCTTAAGTCGCTGGGGGATATTTGTAGCAATAGCCAACAATACATTGTATGGGTCAAAATTATTGATTTTTCTTTTATGCCAAAAATCATTAGGATATTAAGTAAAGATCATGTTCCATGAAGATATTTTGTAAATTTCCTACCGTAAATATATAAAAACTTCATTTTTGATTAGTAATATGCATTGCTAAGAACTTCATCTGGATAACTTTAAAGATGATTTTCTCAATATTTAGATTTTTTTGCACCCTCAGATTCCAGATTTTCAAATAGTTTTATCTCAGCCAAAATATTGTCCTATCCTAACAAACCCATACATCAATGGAATCCAGTGTTTCTAGTTTAACTTGACGTACTAAAATAACTAAAACTAAAAATTAATAAAAACCATATAGACAAAAACACAAAACTACTAAAAATGACAAAACGCACAATAAAAATACTAAAACTGAAAATATGAAAATAAAAACTACATCAAAACATTATTTAAAAATATTATTTCAGTGATACCAAAAATAACACTGATTTTGAATCAAATCGAGATCAGAATCGAATCAAAAGCTTGTGATTCAAAATCGAATCATGAAATTTGTGGCCTACATTTCATAACGCCCATATGCATGTAGTGTGTTGTTTGTAGTTAATAGACTCTATTTAGTGGGGCTGCGACGATAAATCGATGCAGAATCGATTCGTGGATGGATTCTGAGATCTTCTGAATGCATCGCGATTCTCTCTGGAATCAATTCTGAGCTTAGATTTTAACAGCACATGGTGGTCTAATCTAGTTTTTATCCGCACACTCAAATGCTCATGAAGAAGAGTGCTTGTGCGTTCGCTTTTATGGCGCGAGATTAATGTAAACAGCCCACTGTGAACACCCTTGTAATTCGCTTGTAAGGATTTGGAAACTAGCAGAGTACGGCTGTATGCAGTGTCAAAACTAAGCTCAGAATCGACTCGAGAAAGAATCGCGATGCATTCGGAAAATCTCAGAATTGATGCTGAATCATTTCTCGATTCATCTATTTATTTTCCCAGCCCAACCGTTTAGGCTGCAGTTATACTACATGATCTGGATTTGTAGGGTCAGTGAAATGCGGACTCCTGACCGTATGCAGCGGCCCACGCGACAGGCATGAAGTCCTTGCTGAGGGCAGTGCTATCATACGGTCTGTCGTGAGGAACCGGCTCCTCTCCTCCAACCACCACCTCCATGTACACCTCATCCGAGAGCTTAGACCCGCCTGCGCACAAAACACCACAAACTGCACATAAACAATGGATAAACACACAATAACAGCGTCTAAAACTACATCGTGACATTAACGATGACATCCACCACACAAGTCTCATGACGTTTCAATGCTTCAAATCACATCATCTTTGAAAAGCTATTATTGCATTTTGCAGCTTAAAAATCAGAGAGGAGTACATTTGGGACAATGATAACTACATTTTCAAAACTGGAACCAAAGGAATCAGACATTCAGAAACATGTGCTCCTCAATGTCTACAGTGGTTGCAGTGCTGGTTTGACATGTTCCCCTAAAGTTACATAATTTGACATTTGTAGCACAGAAAGAGCAAAGCGCTTTGAGCAAAAACTAAATGTTTATTTGAGCTTCTGCAGCCAATATCAAGCAAACATGTTATTGTATGGTTCTATCAGTGTGAATCACTTTATAGATGTCTCACCATCAGTCTGTGTGTGATGAGCGTCTCCCACAGACATGTAGACCATCTTCTCTCTCAGCGGCCGGACCACAGGCTCAGCCAGAACCACCGCCTCGTTCTCACCGAGATCCACCGCCTCTCCTACACACAGATACAGCGCTAAACAACCAGTCCTATTACTGGACTACATCCTCATCTCAAGCTATTAAAGGGGTCATATGTAGCAGAAATGAAAAGTTGTGGCAAACACCCAAGAAAGACCCAGGAGAGTATGTGAACCTGCAGTTTGAGTTTCAATTTCTTTGTAATCATTGAACTGAAGGTTTCATCAATGGGCCCAAAACAATACAAAATGATTTCAGTATTATACACACACATATACATATACATATATATATATATATATGCAAGTATAGTATTATATGTATAACACTTTTGCTAATATTCTGCCGAATAATTCATAATAAATAATTTATAATTTATGCCGTGCATTGATTTTCACTTGTATGTAGCCTATCAGAAAATTATTACGGAGGCAGCTGACGTTAATGAAATAATTTGCAGCTTTACTCGCAAACTACATTTCCTGTTCATCAATAAGGTAAGAACCAGAGCCATTATAAACCTCAATATATTTGATTAAACTAAATTAATTGAAAAGTGTAGTGTAGTGTAGTGTAGTAGTAGTAATAGAATATGTTTGCGGTCGTAATGATGACAGTAGCGCACACAAAATAGTATCTGTTCTGTGCTCCGGCGCGGTTAGCGCTCACATGGCATGCGTACCGCGCCCGAGCCCAACCGAACCGTGTCCTGGCCCACCTCTTCCAACCGGGCCAGGGACGGCTAAACGCTGCCAAAATGCCTAGTGTGAGTACACCCTACCTCTAAATACTTTAATTGTATAGAAATAATACCAAAGTAGCGCTGGTTCAAATCTCGTTCACTCACCAAGGTCATCTTCTCCAGAGTCTGCTTTAAAGATGTAAACTTTAATGACTTCCTGTCCGTCCTCATCCTTCTCCACCTCCTGATCATCTATCGCCCCCTCGACCGTCACCTCCTCTCCGTCTCCAGACACCATCTTACCCGCCTCGTCCACTACAGGAGGAAGAACACACTTATCATTATGAACAGAGAATACTTCGATCAGAAGCATTTTTAGGATTATGATAAAAAGAAAGGAGACAAAACTTTGGTAAAATAAAATAAAATACTATTTATTATTAAATATTATATGTAAAAAAAAAAAATCATGTGTTAATGATTCATCTATTTATTTTCCCAGCCCAACCGTTTAGGCTGCAGTTATACTACATGATCTGGATTTGTAGGGTCAGTGAAATGCGGACTCCTGACCGTATGCAGCGGCCCACGCGACAGGCATGAAGTCCTTGCTGAGGGCAGTGCTATCATACGGTCTGTCGTGAGGAACCGGCTCCTCTCCTCCAACCACCACCTCCATGTACACCTCATCCGAGAGCTTAGACCCGCCTGCGCACAAAACACCACAAACTGCACATAAACAATGGATAAACACACAATAACAGCGTCTAAAACTACATCGTGACATTAACGATGACATCCACCACACAAGTCTCATGACGTTTCAATGCTTCAAATCACATCATCTTTGAAAAGCTATTATTGCATTTTGCAGCTTAAAAATCAGAGAGGAGTACATTTGGGACAATGATAACTACATTTTCAAAACTGGAACCAAAGGAATCAGACATTCAGAAACATGTGCTCCTCAATGTCTACAGTGGTTGCAGTGCTGGTTTGACATGTTCCCCTAAAGTTACATAATTTGACATTTGTAGCACAGAAAGAGCAAAGCGCTTTGAGCAAAAACTAAATGTTTATTTGAGCTTCTGCAGCCAATATCAAGCAAACATGTTATTGTATGGTTCTATCAGTGTGAATCACTTTATAGATGTCTCACCATCAGTCTGTGTGTGATGAGCGTCTCCCACAGACATGTAGACCATCTTCTCTCTCAGCGGCCGGACCACAGGCTCAGCCAGAACCACCGCCTCGTTCTCACCGAGATCCACCGCCTCTCCTACACACAGATACAGCGCTAAACAACCAGTCCTATTACTGGACTACATCCTCATCTCAAGCTATTAAAGGGGTCATATGTAGCAGAAATGAAAAGTTGTGGCAAACACCCAAGAAAGACCCAGGAGAGTATGTGAACCTGCAGTTTGAGTTTCAATTTCTTTGTAATCATTGAACTGAAGGTTTCATCAATGGGCCCAAAACAATACAAAATACTTTCAGTATTATACACACACATATACATATATATATATATATATGCAAGTATAGTATTATATGTATAACACTTTTGCTAATATTCTGCCGAATAATTCATAATAAATAATTTATAATTTATGCCGTGCATTGATTTTCACTTGTATGTAGCCTATCAGAAAATTATTACGGAGGCAGCTGACGTTAATGAAATAATTTGCAGCTTTACTCGCAAACTACATTTCCTGTTCATCAATAAGGTAAGAACCAGAGCCATTATAAACCTCAATATATTTGATTAAACTAAATTAATTGAAAAGTGTAGTGTAGTGTAGTGTAGTAGTAGTAATAGAATATGTTTGCGGTCGTAATGATGACAGTAGCGCACACAAAATAGTATCTGTTCTGTGCTCCGGCGCGGTTAGCGCTCACATGGCATGCGTACCGCGCCCGAGCCCAACCGAACCGTGTCCTGGCCCACCTCTTCCAACCGGGCCAGGGACGGCTAAACGCTGCCAAAATGCCTAGTGTGAGTACACCCTACCTCTAAATACTTTAATTGTATAGAAATAATACCAAAGTAGCGCTGGTTCAAATCTCGTTCACTCACCAAGGTCATCTTCTCCAGAGTCTGCTTTAAAGATGTAAACTTTAATGACTTCCTGTCCGTCCTCATCCTTCTCCACCTCCTGATCATCTATCGCCCCCTCGACCGTCACCTCCTCTCCGTCTCCAGACACCATCTTACCCGCCTCGTCCACTACAGGAGGAAGAACACACTTATCATTATGAACAGAGAATACTTCGATCAGAAGCATTTTTAGGATTATGATAAAAAGAAAGGAGACAAAACTTTGGTAAAATAAAATAAAATACTATTTATTATTAAATATTATATGTAAAAAAAAAAAATCATGTGTTAATGTCTATTTTTGGATAATTCAGTCCAGCTTGAAAATGTTGTCCAAACTATTCAGAAAAAAACTAATGAACGAATAATTGAATGAATGAATAAACAAACAAACAAATAAATAAACTACTTTAACAAATGAACAAACTGACAAGACCACAACTAAACTAAAATTATTGAAAATATAACATTTTAAAACGAAAATGAAACAAACATTGATGACCAACATAACAATACAACTTAAATGAAGCAAAACTTAATGTCAAAAACAAATCATAATATAAATTATTATATTACATAATATTATAAAAACTACTAACAATGACGAAAGCACATAACTAAAAAATATGTATTTTTGTAAAACTGAAGATATTAAAAAAATTAAAAAACGGCTTTACTAAAATTACCAAAGAATGAAATAAATTTAAGAAATGTCAAAAAACAAGTGATATTATGTAATATTACAAAAACGAATAACTATGGCAAAAGCACATAACTAAATAATAAGCAACTTTAAAAAAATAACATTTTAAACTGAAGATATAAAAAAAGTAACAAAAAACACAAGCATTAGATGAAAAACAAAAGAAAATGCAGCCTTGGTATCTAACTAGGTACAAAAAAATATATAATAATATTATATTGCATAATACTGTAAAAAGTAATAAGAATGAATTGTTATACATGACAAATGACAAATTGAAGGTGTTGATAAACAAACAAACAAACAAAAAGAAAATGTTGCCTGGCAACTAACTGGAATGAGTTTGAGTTGAATTAAGTTGAAAACTGCATTTGAAACAATAAATTGAACCAAACGAACGCATGAGCGAATCAAGCGACAGAAAGAACGAGTGACTGAATGATTGGGTGAATTACAGGAGATCATGAGGTAATCTCCGCAGCCGTCCGAGTCGTGCTCAGGGTCCCTCCCCTCCGTCATCTCTGCCATGGCAACGCTGTCCTCCTCTTCCTCCTCACCCTCCAGTGACATCACGCAGGTCTCCATGGCAACGCCCTCGTCGTCGTCGCAGTGCACGTACTCGGCGACCACGTCCTCCACTGCGTCCTGGATGACGAGCTCGTCGGAGGAGAAGCCCTGGACAGACACGGCCTCTCCCTCCACCTCTGACACCAGCACCGTCTCCTGCAGCTCCACCACATACTCCTCCTCCCCTGCACCTCCCTCATCTGCAACAACACACACAACTACTGCTCAAAACTACGGTCTACACTTCATAACGACTGCTGGTTACTACGGTTCAATTACATATGTGACCCTGGAGCACAAAACCAGTCATAAGGGTCAATTTTGTGAAATTGAGATTTATACATCATGTGAAAGCTGAATAAATATCTTTCCATTGATGTATGGTTTGTTAGGATAGGATAATATTTGGCTGAGATGCAACTATTTGAAAATCTGGAATCTGAGGGTGCAAAAAAATCTAAATATTGAGAAAATCATCTTTAAAGTTGTCCAAATGAAGTTCTTAGCAATGCGTATTACTAATCAAAAATTAAGTTGATATATTTACAGTAGGAAATGTACAAAATATCTTCATGGAACATGATCTTTACTTAATATCCTAATGATTTTTGGCATAAAAGAAAAATCTATTATTTTGAGCAATGCAGTGTATTTTTGGCTATAATATAATATAAAGACTGCTTTTGTGCTCCAGGGTCCCATATAGATACATACTGCTTTATGTCAGCTTTTTGACACAATAATAATAATAATAGAGAAAAAAAACTGACAACAATAAAAGCACACATCATGATAATTATTATATAATAATTATTATAATTCATAATTACATATAAATATGTATTACTTAACAATTACATACTTTTTATTATAATTATATACATTTTAAAATTCATTATATTCATTATTATAATTTATTATAGTAATATATTCTAAAAACATTTTCAATGTAATAATTTTTCAATATAATTTGTTGCCCATACAGACTCTTAATATATTAATAATAATTAAATTAACTCTCTTAATAATAATTGCTCATAATTAAATATACACTAAATATAAATAATGCATAATTAATATAACTAATTTTAATTATAGTATAATTAAATTATAAAAACAATAATATTTTTCTATATTTTTATTTCGCATTATGCCATTTAATATATTTGTGTGAAATTATGTTTTTAATCATACAGATTTATTTCAATTATGTACATTTTAATTAGGTATATTTATGTATATTTTTATATATTTTTGATCCCATTTAATATATTTGTAATTTTAATAATTATTAGTAATTATTAATAATAATGCAAAACATGTAAGAATTATTATTCATCATTAATAATTATAACTTATAATTAAACAATATAAATAAAAATATGAATGAAATATAATGTGTGTGCATATACACACACACATACATA